AATGGTACTTCATTTCTCAGCAGCAACTGAGCCTGCCCACCACCCTTTCCCAGAGTGTGCTCCGTTATGCTGGGCTCTCCTGTTTTCTGCTTGTTCGGTCTTTGCTTCCTTTGGGCTCTCCCCCTCCTTTCCCACCCCTGAAAGTGTTTTTCTTCTCTTCCTTTATCACAGCCCTCTGTCCTCCTCCAAATCCCCCTTCCTCCTTTTTCTCCTCCTCCTCCTTTTCCCTCTTTCTCACTGATTCTCTCCTTTCGGCTACAAGTGAGACAAGAAACCCATTTTTACACCGTGGTACAAGTGACAGATGTTGTTTACCTGCTGATACCTCCTACGGGACTGTCCACATCTTAATGTCTTTGCTCATTTCGTAACATGTATTAGGAAAAAAGTGAGTGAGAGTGGTTATTATAGAGATCACCTTGAATCGGTTATAATTTCTGGGAAAAAAGTAAATAATTTGCAGACCAGTACTTTAACCTTTATTAGTGACAGATTACTGGAACACACCTCACAATTGATGGGTACGCATTAGTGCATCAAAACAACATGATCGAGAAAGACTAATATGTGAGGTGTGCAAATGGTTGTTGAATTAATTGGGATGTGACGTTAGTAATATTATAGTAGCTTCATGGAGATTTTTGAACCAAAACGTTTTTTATCCCCCCATCAAAGACTCACTAATTTATTTACCTATTTATCTTACATATAGGTAAACATTTTAATTTTATAAACACACTGGATTGGAAGGCCCCTGCTCTCAAATTCTCAGAATTGACCAATGAGAAAAATCATTTGCCTAGATCTTAAAGAACAGCTTCTAAGGGAACTAAGTTAGTATCGTTCAGATAAGGTCACTGGGAAAGAGTATTTCTGGGAGCTGGAGAGAATGAACAGGATGGAATGCCACACATAACCTTGAATTGCTCTGCTAAGTTACAATATCTTGAAACTGATAGGAAAAGATTAAAGATGTGTGTGAATCAGAGAGCTCAGGTTCTGACATGTTACAGTATCTTTTCACAGGGGATTTGAGGATAACTTTGAATTTCATAACCTCAGTGAGTATAAATTCCAAATGGAGAGAAAATATAATGTTCTCTAGAGATTTATAGCAAGCACATTCTTTTTGTTTATTTTTGTGATACACTTAAGTAAAACATTAGTCATAATGAGCTATTAAATCTGCCATAAAAATTTGCATTGACCAACTCATATTTACCAATACTACTTTCCCCCTCCAGCTGTTCCTATCTACTTCTGTGTTTAACTTAACGTCAGTAAAAGTATGGAACAACCTTCCTTTAGCAAACATGCCACTTGACTTCAGCAACATTAGATTAGAAGCTTTGTGAAAGGCAGGACAAGGTCTTATTCTACTCAAGTTATTTGTGCACCATTAATGTGTAATAAAGACTTTTTAACTTTTTCCTCATTAACTAGTAAAACATTTATAGAAAAATATAGATTTTTTAAAAAGATAAATAATTCATTATCCTATTAACCAATGATAATTATTAACAGTGTAGTATAAACCAGAGTGGTTGGCCAACTTTTCTATAAACAGAGAAATAGTAAATATTTGACGTCCCTTCGGCCTTGTGTTCTCTCTAGCAACCGCTCAGTTCTGCTGTGGTGGTGTGTAGGCAACAGACAAGACAATCCATAAGTGATGTGTGTGGTTGCGTTCCAACAGAACTTAATTTTTTTTCTTTATTGATTTTTAGAGAGAGAGAGAGAGAAACATCAATGAGAGAGAACATTAATTGGCTGCCTCCTGCATGCCCCCCACTGGGGATTGGACCCACAACCTGGGTATGTGCCCTGACCGGGAATGGAACTGGCGACCTCTTGGTGCATGGGTCGATGCTCAACCATTGAGCCACACAACCGGACCCCAATAGAACTTTATTTACAAAAACAGGCAGGTTGGATTGGGCCTGCAGGCTATAGTGTGCTGACTCCTGTATAAACTATCCTTTAAGCCCCTATATATGTAATATATATAAGAATATACACATATAATATACATATGTGATATACATGTGTGTGTATATATATATATAAAATATGTAACAATACGTATAGTGGTTTTAAAAAGTGACTTCATAAAGATCACTAGGTATCCTTCCAATGGAATGCTGGAGTGTCTGGTGGTTATTTGTCCTACAGAGCATGGATTCTCAGTCACCCAACAGGAGGCAAAAATTGGTTCTTTAGAGGTGGGGAAAAAATCTTAAGCTATTACAGTGGTTTGTGGCTCTCCAAAGTTCAGTTCTGCTCAACAAGATTTTATTCTTTGGTATTTAATTTGGGGTGGAGAGAGGATTAGGTAAACATGTCTTAAAAGTCTGTTTTGGAAAGTAATAATGAAGGACATTGAAAAACACTGCTATAAGGATATGAACCTTTGCTATGATTGGGCAATTTTTTGACTCTACAGTTTGTAGATAATTGAGAAAATATTGCAGATGCAACTAATTCTTATCTACTTGCAAAAGACTTCGGTGCAGTGGAGAGATATCCCCCCACCCCCCACCCCATCCCCAGTACCAGGAAAAAGGCCAATTTTGTTTCCATTTGTAAATGTATTTTAATATCCATGTAAATTTGTGGACTTTAATTTCTCCTTTGAATGGGTTGAAACACTTGCCTGGTTCCCTCATTTAATGATTAATAATGAGTTGAATAGAAATCTTTGACAAGTGTGTATTTTATATCTGTATGAGAGTCGTGGTTTTACCATTTCAAAAAGTAAAATTAAACATTTCCTATTGGTTTGTGACAGTTCGTTTTTCATTGATGGTATATAAGAAATATTGCCATATCATTACATATATAAAGGTTATAAATATTCTATTACATAAACATATCATTTACAAATTTATCATTTGTCATTGGAAATAACATAATGCATAATTTTTCTGAACAAGCATAGATATCTCTCTTAAAAACACACAGAATGTGGAAAGTCATAAAATGTGCCAAAAGCTTGTTACTTAATTTTTTTGGCATCATGCTTGTTTGTCTTCAGTTCCATGTTGGCTCCTTTGAGGACATGGGCCAGGGGACATCCAGGCCAGTGCTATTTTCATGGCTCCGCTTGTTGACAGAAGGTTGCATGTGTTGCTGCTATGAATCTGAGATCATCTGGGGGAGCACCGTGCCCTGGCCTCATCAGAGGTACACACGAGGTGTAGGGCGCTGAGTGTGCTTCGACAATTTGCTTGGCTCCCAGCACGGGTCGGGATCCTGGTTTGGCTTACAGGAACATGCAACAGCCATGCAACAGCCACCGTTTGTCCAAGCTGTACATTGTTTACCGCGGCCTCCTACCCTCCCCCTGACCCCCTTAGGGCACCGACTCTAACTCCCAGCCCCAACATTCATGTTTTATATTCTTTAAAATGCTTCTTCCTGCCCTGGCCGGGTTGGCTCAGTGGTTAAAGTGTCAACCTGCACACCAAAGAATCACAGGTTCGATTCCCGTCAAGGTCATGTACCTCGGTTGCGGTTCAGTCCCCGGTTCTGGTTGGGGTCATGCGGGAGGCGACCAGTTGATGTGACTCTCTCACGTCGATGTTTCCCTCTCTCCTTCTGTCTCTTTCTCTCCCACTCTATCTGAAGATAAATGGAAAAATATCCTCAGGGGAGGATTTAAAAAACAAAAACAAAAAAAATAATAAAATAAAATGTTTCTTTCGAACAGCTTCCAGAAGCTGCAGAAAGAATTGCAGTGGTGGCAATGTCCTTGGGAGGTATGGGGAACACACTAGGACATATACATTTGTGTCTTTTCTTATCATGACTTTGCCTCACATATTTGTTGTATCAAATATTTCCTAATAGGAGAACCAGAAAAAAAAAAAAAAAGATTTGGCTTCATAAAACAGAATCTAAACATTTGTGGATCAAAGGAACCATACTATATAACATATTAAAAAGTAAAAATATATTTAGTAACTATTATTAAATGTACTCCAATTGGTAAGACTAAGAACTCGATCAGTAAATGAGAAAATGCATGAGTTTATTTATTCAACAAAAGGTATGGAATTCCTTATATATAATATGTGGGAAAAGAACTAATATTTATTAGGTTCCCGGAATATGCCAGTTATTTTACATTGAATCCCCATGAAGTAGTTTTAACCCTAAAACTGTCCAAAGCCAGATGGATGGATTGGGGTTTAGAGAGCTTGCTATTGAGATGAAAATTCTCTTTGGCTCTGCCACGGGTGTTGGGACTTCCTTATGTATCTTTTTACATTTTTATTTTTCAATTACTGTTAACATTCAATGTTATTTTGTATTAGTTTCAGGAGTACGGCATAGTGGTTGGACCATCACATACTTAACAGAGTGTCCCCCACCTGACCCGGTACATAGTTGTTACAATATTATTGACTGCATTCCCTATGTTGTACTTGACATTCCTGGGACTGTTTTGTGACTACCAACTCGTACTTCGTAATCCCTTCACCTTTTTCCCCTCAGCCCCCCACCCTACTCCCCTCTGGCATTCATCAGTCTGATCTGTGTATCTATGAGTCCAGTTTCTATTTCGTTTGTGCAGTTGTTTTGTTCTTTAAATTCCACATATAAGTGAAATTGTACGGTAATCGGAAGCCTTGTCTGAGTTTCAGCCCTCTTTGCTTTACCCACTGGTTTCTGAGATCCTGAATTCTTTCCATTAAACTTCATTTAATACAGGGCTACAAAACCTGCTGCCCTACTCCCTGCTTCGTAACCTTCCTTAAGTCCTTGCTCCTCACCGGTCACAGAAACTTTAGGTCGAGTTGATTTGTTTTGATCTTAGTGCTAAAGAGGCCAAGGCCAGAGGTTAAATACCAGAAAAAGCTTATAAATTCTCGGACTCGCAAACATGAGAGCATGAAAAGAACCTTAACAATGGCTTAGTACAACCCTCTTATTTTACAGATGAGATCATTAAGGTCCGGAATGATTGAGTTTGCGGAGAAAAAAAACACACATCTATACAAGGCAAAAGAATGGCCTTTAATCTTAGGCAATTATCTTGAAAATCCTTGCTTTTTACTTCCAGAAGGAATGCAAGAATGTGGATTACATCACATAATCATCAGCCTCCGGGGAGAGGCCAGGAAACCTCAAGTCTCTTTTAGGTTCTCTTGCCCTAATTACCAGTACCTCTCTCGCTGAAGTCTTTGTCCTGCTCCTCAACCCTGACTCGCATTTCCTGATTTGGGCCGAAGGAGAAAAGCCACAGAAGATCTCAGATAGTAGGTGGAGGGTAGTAGTTGAGATGCACGGATCCTAGAGACAGGCAGGGTTCAAGTCCCAGCTCTTAGTCACCTCCTAGCACCCCTAATTTGGGCAACTTTCTTAACCTCTCTAAGCCTAACTTTTGTCGCAGGATAGCACTAGGTCCTACCTTGTAGAGTTTCTGTGAGCATGAGGTGAGCTCCTCTGAACCAGCCTTCCCTGTTCACCACGTGGCCATTATTTTTGATGTGTCACAGGCCAGACTCTTCCCCTTTCCACAGCAACTTCATTCCTGAGTGGGAGACATCTGGTCTCCTCTCCTGATCAATGACTTCAGCTGGTACCCCCTCAATCCATGAGGTCAACGATGTTCTTACAATAGTGAGCCTCAGATGGGAAGAGTTGATGACCTCAATCCTGTCATTGAGAAATATATTTTAAAACACACACACACATAGTGAGATTCTGGATATATAGAAGGGAAGAGTGGAGCTAAACGCTTGCCCGATTAAAGGAAATGAAAAATTAGAAGTATTCATGATGGTTGAATTGTGAAATGATAATCAGACTCAAAAAAAAAAAGGAAGAAAAGACAAGACTTTCAGAGGATAACACAGAGGAATGGGTAAGCCCTGCGGTGCCCTAGATGTTAGCAGGCTGTAATTAGATCGTCCAGTGTGACTCACGGGACAGGACGCGCCATGACAGGGGTCTGTTAATGGGATGATGCTCCGGCTCCCCCATCACAGGGCCCCAGCCTCACTCTGTCTCAGCTGATGTCGCTGCGGACACCACCACCAATAACTCTTCCCTCAGATACACAAAGCCTTCTTTGTTTTAATTCAGGTGAACCAAAGAACAGACACTAATTAAGAGCAAATAAAAAAAGAAAGAAAAAAAAAATCACAAAAACAGAGATGTGAGCCAACTTTCTAGACTACCCGCTGTTCCTGGTTCTCGTTTGAGGCCGGCCCCTTTCTCGTCCTCTTCTGCTTCTTTCTTCTCACCTTGCTCCTCCTTGGGGCTCCTCTGTTCACTTCTTTCTGCCTTTCTCTCCAGTTCCTTCTCCTCATGTCTTGTTCTTCCCTCCCACTCCCCTGGCGCTTCCTGAACACCCCGTTTCCAAGTCTGCGCTGGGCCCTGCTGCCCACGGCAGATAAAGAAGCCGTGGGCCAGGTCGCTCGCAGGCACCCAGCTGGACAGACACAGATAAGACAACGTGGAAACCAAATTCGTAAGAGGATCCTCACCCCCACCTCTGTGCAGCCCCTCCTCTAACCTGCTGATGGTCTGGGGTCCTCCCTCCCTTCTGAGGTCTGCTCTAAGGATTGTCTAGATTGACAGAGGGTTTAAAGAAATGAGATTTAGCATTTGTTCTTTTTATTGAGTAATGGTGTTTCCAGGATTTTACTGAGTGCTCACCATGTGCTAGGTACTTATATGTTATCTCCAATCTTCTTCTTTTTTTAAATCCTTACCCAAGGACTTCTTCCCATTGATTTTCAGATGGAGTGGAAGGGAGGGATGCAGGTGGGGAGAAAGAGAGAGAAACATTGATGCGAGAGAGACACACCGATTGGTTGCCTCCCGCGTGACCCCAACCGGGGCTGGAAATCGAACCTGCAACCCAGGTACATGCCCTTGACTGGAATCGAACCTGCAGACCGAAGGCCAATGCTCTAACTGCTGAGCCAAACTGGCCAGGGCTATCTCCAATCTTATATTATCACTCCCCCTACCATTCATTCATAGATGAGGTAACAGAGAGGTTAAGTGACTCCTGTTACTTAAACAGCGAGAGGTGGAATTTATTTTATTTATTTTTTTATTATTTAATCCTCACCCGAGGACATTTTTCCATTTTTTGTACAGATAGAGTGGGAGGGAGAGAGAGGAACAGAGAGAGAGAGAGAAATATCGACGTGAAAGGGACACATCGAGTGGCTGCCACCCGCACAACCCACCAGGGCCGGGGACAAACTGCAACCGAGGTACATGCCCTTAGCGGGAACCGAACCCGGGTCTCTCCGGACCGCAGGCCGACGTTCTAACCGCTGAGCCAAACCTGCCAGGGCGAGAGGTGGAATTTAAACAGAAGTCTGTCTAACTAAAAAACCCAGGGTCTTCTCACTACCTCTCTGCTTGAGTGACAAAGGGCACTTTCCATATAGTTTTTTTTTTTTTCTCCAGAGGACTTTTACTTCCCAGTGGCCTTTGTTTTTGTTTTATTTCTGAAACTTACTCATGCAGTAAAGCAGTTGCTTAAAGCCAAGCTAGGGATACCAGACACTAAATGGGTCCGAGGCCTCCCGCCACTACTTGAGCCAAATTAAGCAGAGACAGGGTTGAATCATATATGAGTGTTTATTCCAGTAATGCCAGCAGTGTGGAGAGCGCAGGTCATCCTGAGAACCTCACTCCACCATCTCCTACCAGCCCGCCGGTTGCACTGGGAGAAGGAAGAAGGACGATGTGCAGAGGAGAAGGGGGCAGGGTAAGGGCTGCAGGGTCTGTGGTCCTTGTGTCTCCTTCTAGCATCTTGAAGTCTGATAACAAAGCGGTTAATTTTCTGTGATGTTAAAAACAGCTCAGCCCATTCCTGGGACCAGAGACTGGTCAGCATTCCTGAAGCAAACTTCCAGAGGGGTCAGGGTCCAGGCACAGTGACCAAGTTAAAGTGTGTCCTGTCTTTGGTCTGCTCTCAAAATGTATTTTCTTTTCTGAGTAATCGACCCATCCGGTCTCTGAGGCATCTTATCTTTTTATAGCCTTGTTTTTCTTCTTGCCAAACATCCTTCAGTTTCCCAGTCTTTAAGGGAACCTCTTATCTCTAGTTAGTAAGGTGAATAATCATTAAACAACCTATTTCTATTCCGTGCTTGTCCCCAATAACTGTGACCTTTGAGACAATTGAACCACTCTGGGTTATGCAACGAGTATCTGACAGTTTTCGTTATCAGTGTAAACTGTACTTTGAAATTCAATTTTAAAAGTTTATATTTAGGAAAAGTCCAAGGGTCATAATTTTTTTAAATGCAGGCTTTTTCTTCTTAAAGATTGATTAATGGTTATTTGCCAAAACACATGTGAACTCACAGGCATTAACACAAGCAAAGGACAATTTTAAGTGTTCTTACTGGATGGTATCATAGACAAATTTACTGTATACGCACTAGACTTGTAGAAGCTCCAAGAAAAACACACGCCTCACTTTATTACCGTAAAATTTAAAGATAATATTGTGAATGTTACAGCCAATTTAATTCCAAAGGCTATATGAGAAGCCTCATGTGTCGTGAATTGGTTGCCTCTCAGCATCGCGTGTATCATCCCTGCTGCAGTACTATTAATTTGCATGAGACTACAAGGCCAGTGTTACACATAATAATCAATAGGGGACATTTTAGCATTGAACTGAGATGAATTTTATTTTATTTTATTTTTTTATCCTCACCCGAGGACATTTTTCCACTTTTTGTACAGATAGAGTGGGAGGGAGGGAGAGGAAGAGAGAGAGAGAGAGAGAAACATTGACATGAAAGGGACACATCGAGTGGCTGCACAACCAACCAGGGCCAGGGACAAACTGCAACCGAGGTACGTGCCCTTAGCGGGAACCGAACCCGGGTCTCTCTGGACCGCAGGCCGACGCTCTAACCGCTGAGCCAAACCGGCCAGGGCAGAATTTTAATAGGTTGTGAGATAACTTGTGCTCATTCTATCATAATGGAATTTGTATAGAATTTTTGAAAGGATCCAGGTCATGTCCATATTACAGTAGTATCTCATCCCTGTCTATAGGGTGGCAGTGTTTTGTTTTACTAGTTTTTCTTTATTGATTTTAGAGAGAGAGTAAGGGAGAGGGAGATAGAAACATCGATGAGAGAGAACATTGATTGGCCGCCTCCAGCATGCCCCCCACCAGCGATTGGGCCCACAACCTGGGCATGTGCTCTGACTGGGAATCAAACTGGTGACATTTTCTTTTTACATCCTCACCCGAGGATATTTTTCCATTAATCTTCAGATAGAGTGAGGGAGGTGGGGAGAGACATCCATGTGAGAGGGACACATCGACTGGTTGCCTCCTGCATGACCCGAACAGGACCCAACCGCAACCGAGGTACATGCCCTTGATTGGAATCAAACCCGCGACTCTGTGGTCCGCGGGCCCGATGCTCTAACCACTGAGCCAAACCAGCCAGGGCAAACCGGCAACCTCTTGGTCCATGGGTGGATGCTCCACCACTGAGCCACTGGGCGGTGGCAGTGTTTGAACAGTGGTTCCTTTAACCTCCTTGGGAGTCAACTCTTTCATTGATGGTGCATCAGACGAGTTCCTGGCACGGAGTAACATTTAGTGAGGGCTTACGTTATAGTTTATGGACCCTATTTTAAGAGTGGGTAAATTTTTAGTAATGTTGCTTATAGCAAATGTACCTAACGCTAAGCCCACCCATGGTCAGAGATATCAAACCTGAGCAATGTGGACCTCTAGTCCCTTACCTGTATAGTTTAGCATCCTCAAGGGAGGTTGGAGAGAAGGTCTTTAGCTTACCACCTCTGGAAAAATTGGGAAGAGGGCACAAGATAGAACTTCTAATTCAGCAGTGTTTATAATAAATAGTTAGCTTTTAAGAATGAAATGGATCAAGTGATTTTCAATAAAGAATTTTCAAGGTCTAGACTTTAGAACTTTTTTTCAGTTCGAGAACATCATTCTGTTACACTGGTTTGCCCCAGAGCATGTAAGAATCGGTACAAATAAACAAAACAAGCAAATAGAAATTCCAAGCAGCATTTGCACTAATCCCACTACTTTCCAGGAGTTCCTAGCCAGTAGGTGCGTCTTTTTGTCTTTCCTCTCAATTCCTGAGAGGAAGGACAAAGGCAGAATGAATAAGAAATGATTGGAAATACCGAATAACGTGGGTATTAAAACCCTTCCTTTCTTTGAGGGTCAACCTCTATTAGAACTGCGTCTGAATGCTTTGGATGCCTTGAATTTGGAAGACTTTCCCAAATGGGGGAGTTCTTATCCTGCACAGAAACCTTCTTTTCTTCATCCAAGCACTCTGAAGGCATCTCCCACCCCCAAAGAGGTCTGGAAATGTAGAGATGCTTTCGGTTATCACTGTTGACGAGAAGTTGTTCTTGGCTTTTACTGGTAGTGCTCAGGATGCTCTCACACCACCGATAACAGTCTGGCCTCAAACACCATTTACTGCCTCCAGGTAGGAACATGCCCCCTCCTCTCTCCAGTCCTGCCTCTTCTAGTGCAAGGTGTCAACTCTGGGAGAGAAGGGACGCAGTGGGCCTTGTTCATTGCTAACATCATGTAGTGAGTCCTACGTAAATGTTTGTTGAACGACATGTCACTTACAAAGATCGTGATTGATCTGTGGACAGCAAAGTAGATACAATAGAAACCTCCTGAGCAAAGTTCAGTTTCCTTAGGCCTTCGATGGAACCACCTGGTGGATCTCCCTGCTTTCAAGTGCAGTCCTGTTCGATCTTTGTGGATATCAGCTTGGGGTGTGTTGTTTTGGGGGTTCCTTGCTCTGTATGCCATAGTTGACTGTGAATAGGGCCTGTGGGCATAATCTCAGAGGGCTATGGATTTAATTTTGTGTATTTGTATTCAGGGGAAGTTAAAATAGAATATCCACTCTTTGGGTAACAGTTTAACACCAAATTCATAAAGACATGAATTTGAAAATATGGTTCCCTAACTTTCCTGGAAAAGTCTGGAAATTTTATAATGAAGCCCTGGTCCAGTCTGTTTGCGCCTGTGATATTCAGGGTAAAAGGAGGGTCAACATAGTTTGTGAGGCTTTGGGTGGATATAATTCTTCCTTTCAGTAAGATTTTCTTTTTCTTGTCTTTTTCTGGAAAGCGTGTCGGCTATACATAGGTGTGTTTTCTCCATATACACAAACATGTACCAATGATCAGTAATGCGGTTGAAGTGTAAGTTGTTTTTCTTTTAATCAAAACTACATTGAAAGACTTTTTCTTCAATATTCCAAAGAAAAATGCTTCATGTGTCCTTTGTCCCTTCTCTGCTTTCTTCTGTGTTAATGTTCCTGCCACCTGACAGGTGCTCCTGGTGGGC